AATCAATGAACGACTTCTTGTAGATTTCTCAGATTCATAGTTTGACATCATATTGACCTGGCAAACAAAAAACACAAAAAATTTAATAGATTAGAAAGAATTTATCCGATTGAAAGCAATCAATCGTAAATAACAATAAAATAGGAGTGATTATAAGACACATATGGTGAGTAAATAACGAAAAACATAACACTACTAAAAGAACAACAATGGTTTACAAAAAAATGAGAGATTGCGGTGAAGCATAAGAGATTTTATAGTATTTTGTGAATGATCGAAAAAAGGAAAATAGTAATTAATGATTGCAATAATATCAAGCAAAAATTAAGCAAATTATCATTCACATTTTTTAATTTTCAAACTTGCATAATTTTTGCTTAATTTATGGTAACATTATAATATTTGGATTCAAAGATTAAGTCATTAATATCACAATCAAATATTTTAATATTATTGCTTGATAATATTGCAATCATTAATGGATTAAATGTGGAAATTGCATTACAAAAAGCAATTAAACTCAATTGAAATATATCCTTAAATCTTGATTCGATCAATGGCGGTAGGGTGCGACCCATTTTACCATAAAATGATGCAATTTAGAATATTTATAAATCAAAACGATTTTTTTTTAATGAGAATGTGTGAAATGGATTTCTATTCAAATTGTCAAATTTGTGGAATATGTTTAATATAAGGTAAGTAAACTGAATTGAAAATAAAGAAAGAAATGTGGGGCCAAAATTGGAGATGTGAAAACCTCAATTGTGTACTTTGGTGATGCAACTTTACACAAATTAAAAAGGCGGCGGTTATATACAAGCCCATTTTTTTATTAGTTCAAGACCTCCAACATAAAAATACAAATTTACCCTTAATGAAATTTAAAATCAAATAAAAAAGACAAAACATTAAAAAAAAAAAATCATTTCTTTTGTGCAAGACCAAATAAAATACATAGATCCAGAAACCCCTATTCCTTATTTCACGACTTAAAACTCTCCTTCTTCTTTTCCTTCTTCTTCACAAACCCACAAAGAAATCCTACACACCAAAATTATCAAATACATACCAAACATTCACGATGGAACCAGAAAAACAATGACATGGTAGTTTACGAGGGTGGAGAACACAATGAAATATGTTTTAACCGTTTATTTTTGCTTTTGGGTCATTTTTTTTTTTTTTTGAGAACAAAATTCGACGATACCAAAAATCGGTCTGCAAATACCGATTTTTGTTACTAAAGTCGGTAACCACATTCCGATTATTTTAATAAAAATCGGTACTTAAAAACCGATTTTTGTAGTAAAAATCGGCATGACAACACCGATTTGTTTTTGTATTATCGGTATTGTCATGCCGACTTGTACTACAAAAATCGGTTTTTAAATACCGATTTTATTATCTTTGTTTTTTTAAGCCCATTTTCTCATACTTTCGTGCATCAACCTAGTGGATTGATGGTGGATTATTCAAATGAATTATCTAACGAATAAATATTTGAGATACGGAAAGCTCTACTCAATTGAGTTAAATGAGAGGTAGACGCCACCGAATGGTGATAAACATTTTCGTTTCAAATATTTAAAAAATATCAATTAACCAAATATATAATGTATTATTTAAAAAAAAATTAAAAAAATATCGGTATTCGAAAACCGATTTTGTACTCAATAATCGACATTAGAACGCCAATTTTGACTTGTAAAGTCGGCGTTGTGTCGCCGATTTGGTTAACAGAAATCGGTATTATGACGCCGATTTTCGTGTACAAAATCGGTGTGGATAAACCGATTTCGGAAACCAACGAAAAAAAATAAAAAAAAACAAATTTCAATCTCAATTTTTTTTCCAAAATCGGCCAAATCATTGCAACCCAACAAGAAATAAGCATAGATTAATGTTCATTCATACATATTTATCAAGAATCGATGTTCGATTAATGTTTTCGAATTTACAAATAAAAATTTAGTAAAAAGGACATCGATGCTCGATTAATGTTTTCAAATTTACAAACAAAAGTTTAGTAAAATGGATTTCCTTGTTGGTGGTGGTGCGGTGGTGGTAATGGTGCGGTGGGTTGGTCGCTGGTCATCACCGGTGCAGTGAAAGTCTCGCTGGTTGGCAGTCGTGATATTTTTTTTTTTTTTTTGGTCTTGAACAAATTAAAAATAAGATTTATTTGTATTTGAGTATTATTTGTGGATAAGGGTATATTTGTCATCTTTGGTCTTGATGTAATAAAATTAGATTAATTTACGGGCTTGAACTAATAAACTTCTTTACGTGGTTTTGAACTAATAAAAAAATGGGCTTGCATATAACCGCCGCCAATTAAAAAATGTAATATATAAGATTTTAAATAGTGAAATTGCACATATTATTATTTACATTTATCACTTCGTTGACGTTCTTTTAAGGAATGAAGAAAATGAGTATTTTTTTCTCGCACAATTCATATGAGATTCACGAAATTGTTTCTACTGCTTTGATGCAACCGATGTCGTCACACATAGCACATACGTCGATATTATCCATAATATCTACAAAAATAACATAAACAAACAACAAATAACACGTTAGACTAAATACATGTATATGTGTAAATAACAATTGGACAAATTCATTATATCAAAATAATGAAATAAAGTACATACAAAACTATGAATATATCAAAAAAAAGTTAAAAAAAATAAAACTTTTCCTCTTCGCAGCCATATGAACTTATTTTTATTTTTTTGTGAGTGTAAAATTCGGGTGGAGAGTATGAGTGAGTGAAATGGATTGGAATGAGGGGTATTTATACTTGTGTTTTATATAATAAAAGTTTATTATGGAAATACACATTTAATGTCATAATCTTAATTAATTATTGTTGATGAGATATTTTCCATAACTTATTCATATGAATCTTAACCAATCAACTTAAATAGGTAAGAAATCAAATTATATGACATAAAATTGGGAAATTGATTGACAATTTATAGTAAAAAAAAAATATTTGAAATTCAAAATTTGGAATCTTAAACTTTAAATTTCAAAATTGAAATGTTGTTATATTAATATTTTTAAAATTAAATTAATAAATATATATTAAGTTGGCAAAATATATAAAAAAAATCCATGTATATTGATAAATTAATTTATTGATAGAATCATTTGGACTATTAATGATTTGTAAAAACAATTATTATTATTTTTGAATAGAATTATTAAAAAAAACTATATTTGAAAATATATATCATAAAAAAGTGACTTTTCTATTTTTTTTTCAAAAAGACATTCGAAAAATATATTTCGGAAAAATAAATTAAAACGTGAGATAAAAAAACAATTAATGAACCGTATATAAATATAATTATGATTATTCCACTATAAAAAATAGTGTGTAGAATATATATATATATCGAGTTTTCTTTTCAAAAATAAAACTGATAAATTATTGACTTTTCTAGTTTTCTTTTCAAAATAATGAAAAAAAACAAATAAATATGTTCCAAAATTATTGAAATAAAATCATAAAAAAACATAAAATCAGAAATTTTAAAAAGTGAAAAATGCAGATTTGGTTGAAGTATAATCTTTAAACACGTGTATTTAAATATAAAATAAATTAAAATGTAAATTTTGAAATTCAAAATAACATATTATAAATATTAGTAAAAATATCCAATTTTTAACATAAACTAATATTTATATTTTGTAAATGTAAAATATTAGAAATAACAATATTGTAATAAATTATATTAAAATAAATAATTATATTGTTATCATATTAATTTCCATGTAAATCATAAATGTAAATAATTTTATTTTATACATAAATGTTTTGAAATAAGGTAAACAAATAAAAAATACAATGTAATAAGGATTAATTAAGGGAAGAAGTCAAAAAATGAAATAAATGAAATAAATGTGGGGTCAAAATTGGAGATGTGAAAACATCAATTGTGTACCTTGTCTTTATATATTATATAGATACAAATCATAAGATTTTTTTTTAAATGAAAAAAAAGAATACTATTTAAATTACGGATGGCAATGGGGTGGGTATGGGGTGGGTTTTGCAATCCTCACCCCCGCCCCGCTGTGGAAATCCTCATCCCCATCCCCGTCAAAATCCCCACGGGTATTAAAAGAATCCCCATACCCACCTAATAAAATCCCCACAGGTATCGAGACGGGTAAAAATTCCCGTCCATTGTTTTTTTTTTAATAAATAAATATGCAATATACTTATAGTTTAAAGGCTTATTTCAATAAATAAACCAATATTTAATTATATAATCGAAATCTAAAAATCCTCATTTGTAGCTAATATTTAATATATTACTATTATTTAATTATTTATATTTAATATAATAATTAATAAATATATATTATATATATAAATAATGTGGAGCGGGTACGGGGACGGGTACGGGGCGGGTATAGGTAAACCCATCCCCGTACCCGTACCCGGTAAAAAAAAATTCAATTCCCATACCCGCCCCATTTTTTTTTGGGGCGGGTAATACCCAAAAAATTCGGGGCGGGTCGAGGCGGGGATCCATCGGGGCGGGTCAAATTGCCATCCCTAATCTAAATGAGATATAAACTATATAACCTCACTAAACGAATATATGTTTTTTATGTCCTAAGGCTATTTATTTAACAAGGTTTTTTTGTAATTCTTAAACAAAATCATAAACAGAACTTTGCAGAATTTAAAAATTACGTTTCGAAATTCAAACAATATTTTTCGTTATAAACAAGGGCAAATTACGATCACGAAAATCACCCTTATGTTTGGGTAATTACAATCACATCATCAATATATATTATTTTATATGTCCACATTTACGATGTCCAATTTACTTACTGTAATGAAAGATTCTTTCGTATACAAATACATAATTGAGGGATATAGTTGTATATTGAAATAGATGCTTTTAGAGAAGGTTTTGCCGTATACATAATTATTTATGAGAAGTCTGTTGAATATGCTTTTAGAAATGTCCTTATAATTGTCATTTACTCGAGAGGGAGAAAACCAAAATTACCAATAATTATTAAAAAAAAAAATTAAAAAAAAAATTAAATGAAAAGGGCAGCAGAGTTATTGGAAAGCGTGAAAAAGTTACCTACCAAACCCACCAAACAAAATTGGCTGTACAACAATTTACAGAATTACCCCTCACCGGCTCTTTCCAACCATCTACAGCCAAGTCAACACAAAACAGCCCTTCATCTCTTTCTTTAATTACATCTTTGCCTCTTTCTACCACAATTAGCCCTAATAAGTAATACCTTCATCTCTCTCTCTCTCCTCTCTCTCTCTCTACCAATAATAATAATAATCATAATAAAAAGCATCAACTGATCACAGTTGTCATTCACAGCAATCGAAATCAATCAGCCACCACCATGTCTTCCATTTCTAAGCTCTCAGCATCAGGTTTTGCTAATTCCGCTACTAATTCAAGGCCCACAACCAGATCTTCGCAGCAGCCCATGTGCTGTGTTGATCTGCGCAAACGAACCGCCGGTTTCGGTAACCCGATTTCATCTTCAAAGCTCACCGTCGGCACCAATCACCCCATCAAGGCTTCTTTGGTGTAAGTCCACTTATGTTTTTTTCTTTAAAGATTCAATTTTTATGGTTTATGAGGGATTGATTTTATTGGAGCTTGTTTCTCTCTCTCTCTCTCTCTCTCTCTCTCTCTCTCTCTCTCTCTCTCTCTCTCTCTCTCTCTCTCGTTAGTATCTATCTATACTTTAAGTGGCTATGAAAGAGGTAATTTATTTTATGAAGATGTATGATTTTGGTGCTTGTAAATTTGGTTGATTTTATGAAGATGATTCTAATTTAGAAGTTAAATTTGGTCAGTGTAAGATGCTCAAAAAATGATGGAAATGGAAGCACTGTGAAGAAAACAACACTTCATGATCTTTATGAGAAGGAAGGGCAAAGCCCGTGGTACGACAATCTATGCCGCCCCGTCACCGATCTTATTCCGTTGATCGAAAGTGGAGTCAGAGGTGTTACCAGCAACCCTGCGGTAAACTTTTTATTCTGATAAATAAATGTTGAAATTGAATAGAGAAAAATGCTGCATGTACCAACCTTCTGTTGGCTTTCACTAATCGAACAATTCTTGTTTTGTATGAATACAAATATTCCAGAAAGCAATATCAACTTCAAGTGCATACAATGATCATTCAGGTAAAAAAAATGCATGTTTCGATTTGTTTTCAAGTTGTCGGAGTTTCTTCAAAATGTTCCAAGTTCATTGTTGTAGCTATATTTCTGCTCTATGTATATTTAGCTGGAAAACAGGGTGGGCCAAAAATAACAACATAAATAAGATCGAGAGTAAATAACCCTATTCCATTAAAAAAAACTTTGGACCCTTTTTATTTCGATTTTCCTGATATAAATTTACCATCGATTTTGTTGGTTTTTTGAGAAAGGGGCTTGCAGCTTAATTACAGTATCATATATATGTGAATAAATAAATGCAGGGAACTAGTGCAATCCGGAAAAGACATAGAAAGTGCGTACTGGGAACTTGTGGTGAAAGATATCCAAGATGCATGCAAACTTTTCGAGGCGATTTACGACGAAACAGATGGGGCTGATGGATACGTCTCTGTCGAAGTTTCACCACGACTCGCGGATGATACCGAAAACACAATAGAGGCTGCTAAATGGCTTCATAAATGGGTTAATCGCTCAAATGTCTACATCAAAATTCCCGCTACAGCTCCTTGCATTCCCTCAATCAAGGAAGTCATTGCACTAGGAATTAGCGTTAATGTCACGGTCAGTTCATTCTTCATATTATTCGACAAACCAATATGAACATAGTACTCCTTTTTATCTTTTGATACTGAAAAGTATTTGTTACGGGCTATATATATACATGCAGCTCATCTTCTCTCTTGCGAGATACGAAGCAGTGATTGATGCTTACCTGGACGGTCTCGAGGCATCTGGGCTCGATGACCTGTCACGAGTGACAAGTGTTGCTTCGTTCTTTGTTAGTCGAGTAGATTCACTGGTCGACAAGATGCTTGAGAAGATTGGTACACCAGAAGCACTCGATCTCCGAGGAAAGGTAAAAAATTCAAATCCGTCAGTCACAATTGTTTGTGTTAGCTGCAAAAGTTGTAAAGAGTAGTAATAAAAGAAGAAATCGAGGGTAATAATGGTAATTATGTTGGACAGGCTGCAAATGCGCAAGCAGGATTGGCTTACCAGCTGTACCAGAAGAAATTCTCGGGTCCGAGATGGGAAGCTCTGGTGAAGAAAGGAGCAAAGAAGCAAAGGCTACTTTGGGCATCAACTAGTGTCAAGAATCCTGCTTATCCAGACACTCTTTATGTGGCTCCTCTTATTGGACCTGACACTGTAAGCCACCCCCATCTTATCTTTTTCTCTCTCTCTCTCTCTTGTTTTTTTTTTTTTTTTTGTTTGTCTTATTTAGTAGACTTTTTTGATTTTTCAATAAAATTAAATTATGAGATGACTTGAAACATTCCTTACGTAATACAGTAGAGAACCTCGATAATTTTCTCCGCCCCGACTCGGGGACAACAAATAATTCGCTAAATTTGTAAGATAATCGATATGCCCCATCTTGTGTATTAATTAATAATGCACGAAAATAACTCTTTAAATACGTAAATAAATACATTTATGATAAATTTATAAAGGCTTAGCAAAATATGATTCAATTGTCTTTTTTTTAATCTCATCCCTCGGTACTTTTCTTAACATGGTAAGAACTTGTGGTAGTACAACTATCATTTTCAACTTAATTAGTAATTATTAATTAATCGGTAATTTAATGTTCTGCTAAATTAATAGAATTTTGTTGGTCGCAACTGTATTAATGTATTAGCTGTATTAATATTATAGGTATCGACGATGCCTGATCAAGCACTGCTGGCATTCCTTGACCATGGCTCGGTTGCAAGGACTATCGACTCGAATGTGTCGGAGGCTGAAGGAATTTACAGCGCACTTGAGAAGTTGGGCATCGACTGGGGTTATGTGGGGTCACAGCTTGAGCTAGAAGGAGTCGATTCTTTCAAGAAGAGTTTCGATAGCTTGCTCGACAGTCTGCAAGAGAAGGCTAATACTCTTAAGCTTGTCAGCTTGTGAAGTGTTTCTTGATCAATCTTTCTTATTTTATTGCTAGAATAATAATAAAGTGACTGGGCTTCCCTTACCAGTTCAGTTTGTGGTGAGTATTTATTGTAAGAATGTTTTTGGTGTAATGATTTAACAATTTCACTATTATCTATGAGTACATTCAATGTTTTTAGTGTGCTATTTTCCTGGAGGGACTGATTTTTACAATGCAAAATATGGAAGTTGATATATTTGTTGGCTTTACAATGCAACTTGAATTAGTGAAATGGGAAATATGTCCAACAACTGAAACATGAACCATATTTTTGTCAATTGTATTATTGTGGTGTTTGCAAATGATTATTTTAAAGTAGAAGTTATTGATTGTGAGTTAAGTCAATTTTAAGTGGTTATTTCTAAAAGTTGGGGGTGTTTGCAAATATTCTGGAAAATGAACTTAAATAGAAAAAACGGATGTTTTTAAAAAAAATAGCTTTAAGCAGATTATTTTAAGAGAAGCAAAAACAAAAGTTGATTTTACAAACACCTGAAAACAAATTATGAGCAAAAAAAAACTCATAATCACTTTCAAAAAGCGTCTGCAAACACCACTACGTCTAGTAAACATGAGATTTTATAATCTTATGTTTTTATCCAATGCAATAACCTCATACATATGATACTACTAATATATGTATCCTACAAATAATTACTCCATTTGTCCTATATTATTTGTGTTCTTTTTTGGAGTATTTTTTTCTCAAATTATTTGCCATTTTAGAGTTCCAATAGAGCATTATTTTTTATTTATTTTTTCGCTTCATTTTTACCCCTTATCACTCTCAATTAGTTAATTGAAAAATAATTAATGATAAGTGTATGTTAGTATTTACCATGTTGTTTTTGGTATAATCTATGCATTTTATTGAATTTCTTAATATGCGCGCAACTACCCAAAACAACATATAATATATGGGACGGATGAAGTAAGATTTATAGCTCATTCGGTTACATATATTGGACTAGCATGGATTAGATAATTAATTTCCTACTGATCAATTGAGTATCAAGGTTATAAGTATTTAATTTCTGGAGTAATATGCAAAAAGTACCCGTGTGTAATCCATACGTGCCAAAACCCCCCATGTGATAAAACAACTAGCAAAAAAACCCTGTGTAAAATTTTAAATCATTCAATGCACCCATTATGATTTTAGTTATTCACTTCAATAAAATAGAATAACATCAGATAACATAAAATTGGGGCAAAAATTACAATTTTACTAAACTTAGAAAACTTAAGTTAGGGGATTGAATTGCAATATTCCCAACAACTAAATAAAATCAGTCTTCTTCTCCACCTCATTCTTCACAAAATCCTTCACATAGCATCGGAGATTCCTCGTAGAGTCATGAAGCTCTTTTGATAACTCGAACGCGGAATTGCTTACTGCAAGAAGGTGCTACTAATTTAATAAAATAATAATATTTAATTGCGGGCTTTAACTTTTGTAATGAATTTTAACTAAATATGCTACTTGTCAATCGAACGTCTTACTAACCCTTATTATTTAATCAAGAGAACCTAACAATGGTAACCGAACAAGACTTTAAGGCCTCGTTTGCTTGCCCATATCAGTCACATTGGATTAAGTGAGATTGGATTAATATCCTCACTGATTAATTAATTATTTAGTCTGTAAGATATTTGATTTGTTAGATTAAACCCTATACTAAATTTGTTAAATTTTGGTACTACATGTGAATTGTATAAAAAAGTCTTTTAATTAACAAAATTAATGTTTTAAGGACAAAATTGTCTTTTCCTTTTCTAATCACCCTCTATAAAATTAATCTCAAAGCGAAGGGTACTAGTAATTTAATCAAATAGTAGCATTTAATTGCGTACTTTAGGAATAGTAGTTGAATTGACTAAACACAAATCTTATTAACCAAACATCTTAATAACCTCTTAGTTAATATAGCTTAATAACACTAAGCAAACGAGGCATAAGGTTATAAATAGGGCACAGTACAGTTTACACCCCTGAACTATGGGGGTTGTACCAGTTTGCCCCCTTGAACTACAAAACGTCTCAAATACCCCCCTTCATTTAAATTTTATTTGTAAATGCTGATGTGGCACTTTAACTTGATGATTTCTAGCCATTTTTTCACCTTTGGACATTTTCTGACTACTTTGCCCCTCTATTCAATTATTTATATATATATATATATATATATATATATATATATATATATATATATATATATATATATATATATATATATATATATATATATATATATATATATATATATATATATATATATATATATATATATATATATATATGTATTAAAGCTCTTTCATCGACTTTTTTTTGCTTTTTTTTTTCGAGTTATTTTGCTTCATATTTTTGGGTTTCTTTTTCTCGTATTTCCGCTTTTCTTCTCCTTATTTAACCATTAAAAGGCCACTGTTTTTTTCTTCAAAAATTTATTAGGTAACAACTCAAATACACAAAATTCTTGTACTTCGTGTTACAAGACATCTTATAATACACGAAAATCACCCCAAAAGTTATGCATTTAGTGAAGGGCATAAACAAAAAATACACAAAATTGAACAAAAGGACAATAAATAAATATATTGAATCCAAAAATTAAACACAATTAAGAAAATCATGTAAACTATTAATTCACTTCAATCACAAATTCATAACAAAATCGACAAATACAACACATATTAATTATATAATTATTAAGTTTCTTACAACAAATCCCCAAGGGCAGAGAAGTAATTACACATTTAAATTAAAGATGTTAATAATTTAATGGTTAACCATAAACTTGAGAGGGTATTTGTGACGTTTTGTAATTCAAGAGGCAAACAGATACAACCCCTATAGTTCAGGGGTATAAACTGTACTTTGCCTTTATAAATACTATCTCATCCAAAAAAGTAAATATAGTTAAAGTGTACTTGAGGTTCCAAAACTTTCTATGAAATTGTACTTTTCGTCAAGGCATACCAACTAAAACATATATTATGAATTACTTGAATAAATCGTGTGATTTGGGAACTATTGTATGAAAGTAGAGGTTTACTTATATAAAAATCGGCAAAAAAATAAACACAAGTAAATAAAATATATAGAAATGAAACATACCAAAATAGTGAAAGAATAAAGGGGAAATTAGTGATACACCCCTACTTTTGAAAATATACTAGTAATTTTACCCGTGCGATGCACGGGATTAGAATAAAATTAATGCAAAATAATATTTCGTTTATATCATAAATTTAAGGTGTCAAAATTAGAATAGTTTATATTATTAATTGCAGAAAGACCATAAAAAAATGGAAATAAAGAACTTTTCTAGTCAAAATTTCATGATACATCATAATAAGCAAAAAAAATATTGCATAATTATATTGTCGATTATTTTCCCAGCATGCAACGAACAATTCAATGCATCTAATAAAATTAACACAGTAACAATCACTTGGTTGTACACTTGTAGTCCCTATCACTACCAATATAATTTTTAGGGGTTGAATTTTTGTAGAACCTACACCTAGTGAATTACACCATGTAGTTTTTAACCGTAGATCTACATATAATAACACACACGTCCATATGTATGTGCGCTTAGTGGATAGTTATTTATGTAGATGTACGGTTTAAAACTATATGGTGTATTTAACCGGGTGTAGAATCTCATAAACCTAGTCAACATTCAAAATATTAATAACAAAATGTTGTACAGTTTCAAATGCTACTGGATTGGAGTATGGGAGTTGACCTAAGTTAGCTTTATAGACTTAGCATATGACCATTTAAATGAGATGCTTAACTGTAAACACAAAACTAACTTTAGATTTGTGATGCACGAAATTTTTGTATTTTTAGAGATTATTTAAAAAGAAACACATAAAAATAAAAATATATGGAAAAAAAAATATTTAATATAATTAATGAAAAATGTACACGATTCGAGATTTTCAAAGTTTCTTTAAATATTTTGTATATGACTTAGTGCAGTGATATTATTATTATGTCAACCAGGCCAGAAAACTTAAGAATACAAAAAAAAATGAATTAAAAATATTCTTATTCATAAAACTGAAATGTAATTTTTGTAAACATATTAGATGTCCAGAATAAAAGATACATAAATATATTGAAAACATATTACCATTTGACTGAGATGCTTGGTTATACGCCACAACTTTGGAGTAATACATTGAGTGTATAACCCTAACACTTGCTAGTTGTGGGAACCTTACAAACTGCTGTCAGCTAGCTAGCATTCTTTAATCTTCATCAATCTTTTATAAAAAAAAAACACAAACGCATGAAAAAAATATTTAGTATAGGTAGACATTAATGATGCAAATGACGAAATTAGATTAATTTTTACGTTTAGTTGTTAAGAAATTACAAATGAAACGATACACATCTTTTCTTTGAAGGAAACTCTCAATACATAAATAAAAGAATTTTCAGAAGAACATTGTTCATAAAGGATACAAATATTGGTTAAATTTCATGCGAATAAACATAACCAACTGAAAAAGTTTTGATTCCCTAAAATCTCTATCCCCCAAATTTTGATTTGCAAGCACTTAAATAGTTTAATCCATCAACAAATAATAATAGTGAAACAAATAAATCCTTAATTGGAAAAATACCGACAATTTCACATTTAAATTTAAATTCCAAGAGGGTATAAAATTAGATTTGAGAGAGTTTAACAAACAATAAACTAAGAAAACAATACGTACCTTGTGGTCGATATTTTTCTTTACGTATGTAGGGATGTTATTGTACAAGTTTTTGTCTTTCAAAATGCTCTACTAAGAATGAAGAAAGAATGAAGAACATGATAATAGAATAAGAACAAAAAATAAACATTGAATAGAAGTGCAAAGGAGTGGTAATCGACAATAAAATGACATATTTTATATTTCAATAAACGGACATTTAGTAGTCGGACAGTTGGAGAAAATGGAAAATAAATAAAAAAATTTATAGAATTACAGGTTTGCCTTTAAAGTTTGATAAATTATTATCTACCATTGAATCGGATAATGTGAACAAACTCATCATATCCCGTTTCTTTTGCGATTAATCAACAAATCACACAAATCGGATAATGTGATTACCAAAAATACCAAATCACGAATGGATCTTATCGGATCAAATTAAATACGGAAAATTTGAGATTGAAGACATTTCCAAAAAAAAAAAAGGAGGATGAGGTAGAATACGTAATGATAAAAGGAGGGGATTGATTTAAAAATTTGATCTTGATTCTTAATTTACTAAATAAAATAAAATAAAATAATAAAAGTAATTGATAATTGTAAAATTCAAATAAGCGGAAAAAATTGCCCTAGGGTTTACCAATGCAACCTTCCTTTTATTAATAAAATTCCTTTTATTAATAAGATTAATAAAATGAAAATAATAAAATAATAAAAGATACGTAGATTTGGTGTGGGAGAAAAATCTAGATAATTCCTTGAAAAAAACGTAATTAGTTTAGAATTAAAATATCATTAAAATTAGTTTAAATGAAAATTGAAATAAAAAAATAATAAAATAAATAAATGGTATCAAAGAATTCATCACACAATAATATATCATTAAAAGATACGTAATTAGTTTAAATGAAAATTGAAATAATAAAATAATAAAAGTAAGAAATAAATAATAAAAGTAAAAAATAATTAAATGACAAATGTAGCCAGAAAATCAGGATAATTCCTTGAAAAACGTAATTAGTTTAGAATAAAAATATCATTAAAATTAGTTTAAATGAAAATTGAAATAAAAAAAAAAAAAAATAAATAAATGGTATAAAAGAATTCATCACACAATAATATATCATTAAAAGATACGTAATTAGTTTAAATGAAAATTAAAATAATAAATAATAAAAGTAAAAAATAATTAAATGACAAATGTAGCCATAAAATGAGCGGGAAAAAAAACCCTAAGGTTTCACCAGAACAACCTTCCTTTTATTAATAAGATATGAGGAGGCCCAATAAATATTTCTACTCTAGTCAAAAACCCAACTTCTGATCTTAATTAGTGAGTTCCCTCTGAACAACTTGAAGTACATGTTTTACCTTTTAATTTTAATACAATATATACCCTAATCTTATCTCTTCTCACACACGTTTCAACCACACCGCCATTCTCACCCTCTCTCTTCATCTCTCTCTCTTTCTTACTCTGTCTCGCTGCTCCCCACCGTCCCACCGTCTTGCGCCGCCCGCCGCCACTACTCCCCCACTGCTCCCCCACCATCTTGCGCCGCCTGTCGTTTAATCTCTCCCTCTCTGTCTTCATATCTCCCTCTCTCTGATTCTCTCTCGCCAGATCTGGTGCCGACAGATCTAGGCGACCCCTCGGCCTCTTGTTGGTGTACATATATCATCCTCCTTCTCCAGAGCCTCCACCACCGCCCCCGGCGGGGTTCCGTTGTTGCCGCCGTCGAGATCGCTCCTGCCGTCCTCGTCACGGTTGCTCTTCTGGCCGCTGATGTTGAGGGTGCCGCTGGTCTCAATTTGCTCATCGTTTGAGTTGTGGATCTGGTGATGGTGGAATTACTCAAATTCAGTCAGGTAATTTGACGAGCATCTCTTGATTTTTTTTTATTTGTAATTTTGGGATTTTGATTGAATGATTGTGTGGTTATTTCCCAGATTTTACTGTTTGTTCTGACATTAGGTGTTGATGCTTGATTTGATGCAAAGTTTGTTGTCTTTGGCTTGCAATTAATTACTGTATATGTAATCGGGATAAGAGTCGATTGATGATATAAATTGTTTTCTTATATTGTAGTGTTGACTTAAATTATATATACATAACCATAATTATACGTAGTAACATATAGTAATATATAGTAACATACGCATATAACCGTGTATTTTCAATCGATATTTGTAATAAAAATTGTTATTTATAGTTATATAAAAGATTTTGCTTTGTTTTCTTTTTTGTAATTAAAATTCTACTCTCCATATACATACCTACAATTCATAATTTAAATTATATGTGTACATACCTCATTAATTTTCACATTTTATTATCTGAGTTTATTTGTCATCTCATTAATTCAGTTTCAAGAACATACAACAAATCAAATGATTTTCTGTGATAGAATTTCACTACAGTAAGTAAATATTTTTTTTTCAACCACATTGTTCTATTCATCACCTTTATATATTTATATATAGATTCAATAGTGAACTTTTTTGTGGTGTAGATGAATTTTATTTATATACATATATAGTCACATATGGTCAGGTACGTGTAGTCATATATAGTCACATGTAGTAATAAGAATGAACCTAACTACATGTGACTATAGTTGACTACATATAGTCATATCTAGTCATATGCAGTAACAATAATGCACATAATTACTTGTAACTATAGTTCACCAAAGTAAATTTATCACAAAAATGTCTTTCATTGTTTTTTGGTATTTTTTCATGTGATGTAATTCATTTGTTCCATTTTGTTCTTCGTTTTCTTTAACTTGAATTTTTTTTGCCACAGGTTTTGCTTTGTATAACATTATGAGATGCAAAGAATAAGATGCAGGGAAGTGCCATGTGAAGTTGCATTCATGCTACAGTACTCCAGACTTATGTGTCACTTATATAACTATACATAATTATATATAACTATAGTCACGTGTAGTAGCATATATTTATATGTATGTTATGTGTTTTTTAATGTATAGTAATGTGTGTTCATGTTTTGAAGATTATATGCATGTAATTATGTTTTTTTTTTTGTTTAGTTGATTTATAATATCAAGATTAAAATTGTGAATTTTGTTATTGGTGTAGATTAATTTTAGGACAAAAGAGGGATAAAAGAACAGTACATGATTACATATAACTATACATGACTGTATAGTCACATGTAGTCAATTTATGTACAGTAAATTTATCAAAAACATAAAAATAAAATAAAAATTAAGAATTAAAAAAATTAAAAAAAAATTAAAAAAGTTATAAAAAGTTAAAAAAAATTAAAAAAATTAAAAAATTAAAAAAATTAAAAAAATTAAAAATTAAAAAATTAAAAAATTAAAAAAATACAAAATAGGATATAAATTTTTAATAAAAATTTATTTTTTTATTAAAAAATCTATAAAAATGATAAATGCAGGCCCAAAATGCTAAATGCAGTTGGGCATTATGCTGAATGCAGGGGCAAAAATAATGAATGCAGTTGGGCGAAAATTGCACTTAAGGGCACAATAGTACTTTTGCCTCTCCAGGGGTATCTTAAAGGAAGAATTTTAGGGGTGGACCTATCGCTATATATTTTCCATTCTAGGGGTGTATATCAAATGGACCCAAGAATAAATAAAAAGATTTTAAAACAAATAAAGTTTGAAAGAAAAAAAAAAAACAAAAGAAAAAATAGTTGACAGATATGCAAAGAAAAGGGTAGAATTGGAACTTTTGGAAGTAATCAATCGCTTAAAGGAAAATCTGAGGCCGCTATCTTCCCGCGAAGCATTTCCTTTTCTCCTCCTCCTCCGCTTGTTTGTAATCAGACACTAGAAACTTCTCTCTCTCTCTGAAAATTATGGCGTCAATTTCGGCCGTCGGATCTCTTTCTAAGTATTTTCGTGTTAAATCGTCCGCCGCAGGTCCACCACCACCGCCGCCGATAATTCCAGACCTGCTGCGTGTTATCTGCCGCCGAAGTTCGGATGACTCATCAAATTATTTTGGTTAGCCCCACCACTTTATTTTCTTTTCACAGATTCTCCTCTTCTAGATGTATAATCATCTAATTTTTTTTTTTATTATTATTCTGTCACTGAATTGAAGTGGCAAGTGAAAGATTGGAGCATAGGGCACTGATCGATCGGAGACATATTTTGATGTCATCCATTGGATTATTGGCTGCGGCAACCTTGGATTCTCAAAGGAATCCAGATTCCATTGCATCTGAATATGCTGATAGTAATCTCCTTAACCTTTTCTTTTTACTTAATTTTTTTTTTTTGTTATTTTATACATTTTTATCCAATTGTTGTTTGATTGTAATCTGTATTTGTAACAATTGTATGGCATGTTTTTCGAATAAAAAAATTAGCAAAGCTTGCTTTGAATTAGGAGAAGTCATTAATTTTCTGTTAGGGTTATCTGCATCCGCATCGACAAAATAGTCTTTAATTGTTGTCGGGGTCTCGGAGAATAAGTTGGTCGATATATCTAATCAACACGTATAAAGATGAATTAGAATAAATACAAGTGGGGTAACTGCATAACAAAACATCACCACCATTTACAGGCTTATGTATAAATAAAAAGTGTACGTAGACATTATCCTTATCTCCTTTTAGAATGTTATGCATAAGGTTTCGGTAACGTTGAATCATAGTAAACATAGTGGATGAAAATATAATGTAGGTAAGGTGGTTTTAAGAGTTGGGTGTGGTCATTTCCATGTTTCGATTATTGATGTGCTACGTACTTATTCTAGTGGCAGTGGAACGAGTTTTGGTCGGTTCTTTGAATAATTGTACGTATGATTATAATGTGCAGCCTAAGCCTAGTAGCTTTGAAGACTAATTGTAGGCTGACTGTTTGGGCATTCAGTGCCAGCTTTGCGTGGAAAGGATTACGGCAAGACAAAGATGCGCTATCCTGATTATACCGAAACTAATTCAGGTCTCCAATATAAGGTCAACTCTTTTTACAAGCATATTTCTATTAATACTTTGTACATTTTCCTTCACATATAACATGTAACATGTAACATTTGCAGGACTTGCGACAAGGTAGTGGGCCCATTCCGAAAACAGGAGAAATTGTAGTGGTAAGCCCATTGTATATGACTTTTTTTTTCAATAATAACAGTATGTGATCAATGCATTAGGCTTAAAAAGTTTAAAATCGTTTCACTAAATTTGTTTATTTTGCGAGTTGTTCAAATCCCAAATAAAAATGATGGAGCGGTATTCGTTTATTTGATGGGACACTATTTAGGTAAAAATAAAATAAAAATGAGATGACAACTGAAATTCATCCATATTAGGTTGATTGGGATGGTTATACAATTGGATATTATGGACGGATATTTGAAGCTCGTAACAAGACAAAGGGTGGCTCGTTCGAGGTATTCTATCTTCTTGTCATTATATTATAATCAGACTGCCATTCTAAACTTGGTGGATTTTTTGCTCTTCGTTTTATTTATTATGTGTTGTTTTAAGTATGCAGGGCGAAGATAAAGAATTTTTCAAATTCAGATTAGGATCACAAGAGGTTGGTCATCACTCTTAACTAAAATATATTGTTTTTAACGCTTTCTTTGAAGCTTTATGTTTACATGTATATCATGGTAACATACTTGTATAGTTGTATTTGTATCTTGTAAAGTTGTAATATTATTCACCAAGGTAAGTGTGCTGGTACGCAGTTTGCAATAGAAACGTGGTTTTAGCATCAATATACTGTAGTGTTGTAAGCATGTAAGTTGTGAATATCAAAATAGGTGATACGATGATTTGTAATGCACTGTTGGGTTATGGATGATATGTTGTTCAGGTCATACCCGCATTCGAGGAAGCTGTATCAGGCATGGCTCTTGGTAGTATAAGAAGGTACCCTTTCCCACAATTTATTGATGTTCACCTAGAAATATAATACATGTGCAAAATACATATACTTGTGGAACAATGTTGTAGTACAATCTGAGTCTTGAAATGTTAATAACACAATAAATGTTTGTTTGTACAGGATTATTGTTCCGCCAGAACTAGGATATCCCGATTCTGACTACAACAAGAAAGGTCCAAGGCCAACTACATTTTCGGTATTCATTCTACTATTTTAGTCTCTCTAATGTTGCTACTAATTGTAGTCGATTTATTTGTTTGGTCATCATCGAATGGAAAGTTGTCTTCTTACTGACAGGGCCAAAGAGCACTGGATTTCGTGTTAAGGAACCAAGGTTTGATTGATAAAACTCTCCTCTTTGATATCGAGCTCATCAAAATCGTGCCTAACGGAAGAGGTTAAAAGCTTAACACATGATGAGATTTTACAATGTCACTCTTACCAGTGCTCAAATTTTATGCAGTCCGAAGCATCCGATTGTAAATTGCAACGCATTATGAATTTGTAAATGCTATTGTGAAACGGTGTTTTCATTTTTGTGTTATTATGCGTGTTGTATCAGTTGCCGGCTATTAAAAAAAAAAACATCAGAGCTAAATGTTATTGAGAACAAAAAAAATATATGTCCAGTTAAAAGTAGTGCCCAAAAGCAATGCAGAAATGTACATTTGCTGTTAGAAATCAGTAGGAATAATGCTACTGATCATCATATTAAACCATTTTAATGCTTTTACCATCACTCTGAATTATTAAACTTGTATCCATAAAAGAATTTAAAATCAAACAGGCGACCAAAAAGCCACAAGAAAGCAACAAAAACCCTACACATACTTCAAAATTCAATCACAAAACTGCAATAAAGAGTCTTCAGCACAACAGAAAATTGAAAGGAACAAAAAACTAATCGAAGGAAAAAAAAAAAAAAAAACAAAGCAGCGTAGTCTGACGAAGTCAACATTCAAAACACCAAGTAAAAATCAAACCTAAAAGACATGCTTAAGTTAAAAAAATGCCACAAGATCTACTTTTTCGGCAAATTACGTGGCGAAGGAAGCTAGTTGAGCGGAAGAACTTTGCGTTTGTACCGCACCATAACACTCCCCTTCACACCCACAACCATAGCATTCCAGTCAGTCTCGGGGAAAGGAGAAAGAAGCTCCATTTCAAAATTCCTAAGCAAATGGCTCCAAATCGCTTTAATCTGCAGATAAGCAAACGGCTCCCCAAGACACCCATGCCTGCCGCCACCAAAAGATATATACGAGAAAGCTCCTGCCGCCTTATCCTCATCTCTCCCCGGTGCAAACCTATCCGGGTCGTAACTATCCGGCTCTTTATAAATATGGGGCAGCCGATTCGCAAAGGCGGGTGATGTGGCAACAATATGCCCCTTCGGAATATCGTACTCGACCCCTTCTTTAGTCTTCACGCTGAAATCGCTGTGCGAGCTTCGAAGAAGCATTATCAATGGAGGATGCAGCCTCAATGATTCTTTAATGCACCGGTAAAGAACTTCCATTTCTGACAACACGTCGTAGTCAACTTTGTCACCGTGCTTTTGGACCAAATCCGTCTGCTCATTCACAACAGCGGACATGAATTTAGGGTTGCAGAGAAGGTATGCACCGGTCCATGTGGAGGTAATGGAGCTGGTGTGCTGACCGGCGAATAAGGCGGCGATTAATAAACCGGTGACCTCTGATTCGGTCGTTTGGCGACCGTCCTTGTACTTGGAATCGATGAAGCACTGTAGCAAATCGTGCTGTGATACGCCTGCATTTTTGCGAGAGGCTATTATGGTGGAGAAGATGTGGGAGAGCTTTTTGCGGGCTTGGTCTCTACGGCGATGTGCTGGGATTGGAAGGTATGGGAATATGACGCTGATTGGAAGCATTCCGTTATCGAGGTCGTGGAAGAGTGCTGACACGTCTTCAAATAGGTTATTGCGCACTTCTTCGCCCAAAAGGCATCTACTTGCTGTTAGTATGATTAGGTGCTCTAATTCGTATTTTAGGTCCACTTCACCGCTGTCTCCCCATTTCGAGAAATATTCCTGCCGAATGAGAGAGGGAAACATGTTTTGATCAGAATACGAATCGAGAAATGGTTTCATATGTTTGTAGAATAGGATATATTAAAGAAGTGCATTTGTGGTTTCTCAAACATAAACCAGTTGCACAGTCCATTATATAAGTAGATAAATAAAGTAAGAAATGGAAGGCCCCTACCTAATAGGTGACAGTAACTTCTCAGTAAAACCGGGAGGGTAAATAAATAGGGAAAAGGAGCATAGATGCAGACTGTTCAAAAGTAGTCACTAAAATTGCAATTGTCCATAACAGCTGATTTGCCACAAAATGCTGCTGTGAATTGCACTTGTAGATTGCATGCACACACTGAACATGCAATCTCATAATTCTCGTCTCTATTTTTCTAAAGTAATAATATAGATAGCGTACGAAATCCAGCCATGGAATGAGTAGGTAAATTAATAAACCCACTATATGCTGAGAAGTTCGACTCTTGAGTCAAGCACATAATAGTAACCAATAACCATCAAAACCAATATACACTTTAACTAAGTTATAGAACGGATACGTAAGATAATCACATCAAGGAAAACAGAGAAAACATAAACCGGGATGAATAAAACGATAAGAAGTCGGCAATCACAAGTTATGCAGCTAATACGTTAGGTCTACGATCTTTTATTCTGCTCATCCTAAAACTAATCGAAGATCCAAGCAATTCCTTCAAATAGAACAAGATTCAAACTGAAAAGAATCGAAAAAAATGATTTATTTATAGTTTTTTTTTCAACATTAAACGATCTCACATATACTCACTCCGATTTACAAGTTAAAGACATGCATAAACAAACAAGCAAAATATAATGCAGCTAAAGAAAGAAAACAGTAACTACCCCAAAACACATAGTGCAATTTAGAAATCAGAATCATGAGAGTTAAAAATATCAGTAAATCGATAAATACCTCGGCTTCCATAACCATCTGATCAACATAACCTTTGAGCTTATTAACCCTAAGTGCCTCAGTGAAGAACCTGAACTGCTCCTGCCTAATGGTATAATCAACATCAAAAACAACACCAGGGCCAAAAGTGGGGACATTGAATTGGTAAACCTCTTGTTGGCTGAGATCAGATTCAGGGGCCTTGAAGAAATGTGGCGAAACCTCTGGACCAATCAGAAAAGTTATCTTCTTATTCAGCAAATTCAGCGTGAACACGCTTCCGAGCTTAGGGTACTCCGCCCTCAGCATCACGATCGGTCCTTTCAGGAACCGGAGCAGACCGCCGAGAACCGGCCACGTGTTCACAACCGGGGGCAAACGCTTGCTGGATCTGGGCATTATCAATGCGGATATCAGCTTCGCCACCACGAGCGTGGCGAGCAGTAGAAGGCCCACGTTCATTACTTTCGAGCCGCCGTCGGTTGATTCCGCCGCTTCCATGGCTGCTGGCGATTCTGTTCGCCGGAGAAAAAACTGAAATTTGACAGAAACGAATCTTAGATCTGAAATTAAAATTGTGATCTGATTGAAAATTAGAAATTACTCAAAATTGAGAGATGTGAGGAGGGGGAATTGTGTACCTACCTGACTGATGACGATGAGAAGAGGGGTGGTGGAACTCAGTAGTGGAGAGACATTGACAGTGACAGCAGGAGATATTAATTATGATTAATAATTATGATTAAGGGTAGAGAGAGAGAGAGAGAGAGAGATTGTGGTTAGGCACTAAGTAGAGGTGATTATTTATATTTGCAAAAGAGGATCGGATCGGCTTAAAGATCTGGCTTTGCTTAGATGGAGCTGATGATTAAAATAATAAATATGGATTTGTTCGACCCTACACCTGGTGAAAAACACCGGGTGGGTCTTCTGCTGCCACGTGTCTCTTTTTTGTATTTTATAATAAATTCTCCGCTAGAGTTTACCTTTAGGGGTTTTAGAAAAATAAAAAAAAGAACACGTGGCAGCAGAAAACCCACCTGGTATTTTTCACCGGGTGTAGCATCGAAGGAACCATAAATATGGTCAAATTAAGAAAAAACCCCTCTTGTTTTGATAATTACATCTATCCCTCAACTATGATTTTTTCTTACACTTCCACCATTATGGTGTCAAATTCAACATAATCATGTAGATTTCGTGGAATGTGCTCTAGTTTGTACTCGTTTTGTGTAAAAATACAGTTTCTGATGCACCATAATTTGATATATATATACAGGGTAAAAAACACATTTTATGATCATCTTGCTTCTAAATGTGGAGATCGAATGGGATAAAACGGGTACAAATGTGATAATAATCTATATAATCTCGAAGATTCCACTAAATTTGAAACCGCAAGGGTGGACGTATAAGAAGATTTATAGTTGAGGGGTGGTTGTAATTACCCAAACATGAGAGGGGTTTTTGTTATTTAACCACAACTAAGGGGTGGTTGTAGGGGTGCAAGTTGGAACGGAATTTCCAATTTCCGCCAGTTCCGATCCGAAAAGTTCCGATTTTGGAACAACTTTTTTCATTCCAACTTCCGAAATTCCGATTTCCGAATTTTTCCGATTTTTTTGGATTGGAATTGGAATTATAGAAAATATATTTGGAATTTCCGATTTCCGATCCGATTTAATTCCGATATTATTTCCGATTTTTTTCCGAAAAATACACCTATAAATAATATATTTTATATTATACTTATTTTCCAAAACAATACGCCTATAAGTTTTGTTTTAGGATTTTGACATAATGAATTGTTGTTAAAAGTTTTATTGGATATTATGTTGTGTTTATATTTATTTATTTTTTTGAACTGAAATTTAGTAATTATTAGTTTTACTTTTATCGATGTGGATGTTCTTATTTTTTAAAAAATATGAGCATCCTAGAAAATTTGGGCTAAGTTTTGAAATTTTAAAGCTTATGTGATTTCCGATTTTTTTCCGAAATTCCGAAATTTCCGGGTCTTTTGGAATTGGAATGAATTTTTAGATTCCGAAATTTTTGGAATTGGAATTGGAATTGATTTTGTACTTCCGATTTTTTTTGGAAATTTTCCGAAAAGGCTAATTCCGATCCGATCCATCCGACTTTCAACCCTAGGTGGTTGTAATTTACACTAATTAATTAAATATTAAAGGAATAAAAAAAATAAAAGGAGAAAAATAAAATGTTGAGCTGGGTGTGATGGAGTTTTGTGAATCAAACAGTGGGCCAAGATCATCTCCCATTGAACTGGGGGCTGCCGGGGGTGGTTTCCAGCTGGGCTGGGATACACCCTGCCGACGCGTTTCATGGAGCGTGTCCCCCCCTCCTTTTTTTTTAAATGTAATTTTATTAAAAAAATAATTTTTAGATAAATTAAAATGAAAATTTACATAAAAATTTATAACATAGTACTTTAAATTAGAAAAATAAGGTTATCGGCTTTATATAATTAAACAAATAAGTTATATTGGTAAAAAAAATAAAACATTATTCTTTTTATATGGTGAGAGGTGATGAAGACGACACATAAATTTAAAACATAGTATTTTAATTAAAATTTTAATATCGAATTTATATAATTAAACACATAAATTATATTGGTAGAACATTATAATCACAACAAATACAAAAAATTATATTTGTATGAATTGTCTATATTTATACGATTCTAGGCAAATTGAAATTTTAATTGCTAATGTTAACAACGTTGAATATTTAATTACAATTAGTATCGAATTAATTAAAAATAAATAATATTTTTATTTAGCTCCAACTTACTACCCCGTAACCGGTTGAGCTACACCCATGCAGACATACTATTAAATACATATTACTATAAGTTGTGGTTGATACACGATAATAGTAAAAAACTTCAGTATCTCTAGCTTTATCACCACTAATACTTGATAACAAAAGACAAAAGGCCAAAAAGAAAAAAAAGAAAAAGAAAAAGAAAAACGTGGTTGCACACGCGAGTAGGCGCGTTTCCCATGGATGAGCTCTCTTAGTCCAGCCCTTCCCTACCCGAGTGCAGCCCCTTACCCCCCTCCCGGCTCCCCACGCACGCCCACCAATTGGAGTTGTCCACTGTTTTCTCTATCAAAAAATTGTTTAATATTATTAGTGGCTGATGTATTAGTATATACTTTTAGTTGTGCTGCCATGTGACCATCTTTTGTTTTGGAGCTGAATTTATAATCTACCCAACTGTCATTAAGCCATTAAATTTATATATATATATATATATATATACTGAAAGGGACACTAAATTATATGATATATGGGTAATTTGCATCAATATCTTCTACATTTTGGTCATTTAGCAACAGCACTCTTGATATTTCTTTTTTTTTTTTTTTTTTTTTTTTGCCAAAATGTTTTTATTCCATTAAATACTTGTGAAAGTACAAGGGGGCCTCGTTAAAAACCTTATGGGCCTACACAAGGAAAAGAGTACCCCTACAATTGGAACGGAATAAAAACGGGACAATTAAAGTCCTATACAATCGATTACAAAAAAGCCCAAAAAACAGGTTAAAAAAGACATAAACAAAAATTACTATGTCTAATATGGAAAATTTTCGGAAATTGCTCAAGAACCCCATGTGTGGATGAAAGTGCAAATACGCATAAGAACCATGTGTAAGTAGATATTCCTGCTCACCAATACAAAAATTGCAATTCGACCCCTTATTAAATTGAGAAACCCACATGTCATCATTGGTCCAAATCAATTTAGGGGCGGAAATTAGCAATCCCCAACCTATCACTGATCAAAGCAGCTCGAACCTCCACCGGAAGACTAATTTCGGTAAAATATTCTTGACTTGATTGGTGATTATACGCCCAATTAGCTAATCGATCCGCCACCGTATTCTTTTGACGAACTACGTGCTTGAATTGAAAAGAAGAATCCACTTCCTGCAAGCACAGCCGAAGAATATATTCTAACTCCCATGTAACGACCTTGGTTTTAATTGCATTAATAGCCAACAACGAGTCACTCTCCATCGTAACATGAAGGATCCCCATGTGCCTACACATTCTTAATCCATAAACTATAGCCAAAAATTCTGCAGAGTTGTTCGTACCATGCCCGAAAAACGAAGAATATGCAGCAACAATATTCCCCCTCGAATCTCTAATAATACCGCCTCCTGAACTCATCCCACCTTTTGCCGAACCATCTGTATTAAGCGTATACTTTCCTGCCAGAGGAAATTCCCATTTGTGCCATGCCCCCCGTTTATGAGGCGGCTGCACCACCGGGAGACCAGCGGCTTGAATACGAAGGCTTTGAATCTTGGTAGAAAATTGCCTGGGACGATGCAAAGCCACCATGCTCTGCGTGTGGTAGTAAACCTTACGAATAATTTCAGCACTTGACATATCCCCATCAGCATATACCACCCGGCACCGAGCATTCCAAATTTCACGAAAAATGTGACATACCACCGAATTCCTAATCATGGCATAAAGAGAGAGATCGGATGGCCGCGGGACCCAAACGCACAAAGCATGTTTGGGCGACTCAAACCGATCTTGGACTTGGAAAAGGGAGCCGAAGTGCTTCCAAACCCGTACCGCAATCTCTGAGTGCAAAAATAGGTGAGCAATATCTTCCGGGCAAGGCGATTGGCAACAAACACATCTTGAAGCCAATGGAATACCCCGAGAAATTATTCGTTGATCAACCGGCAATGCATGATGAATTAACTTCCATAAAAATCCACTAGTTCGATGAGGTAAGTAAGGCTGCCAAATACGAGTTGTCCACGAGACGCGCAAACGTGGCATATTAATATGACGCCAATATTCCTTACTCGAAAATTCACCAGATTGAGTGAGGGTAAAAATCAAACGATCCGGTTTATTCATCTCTAAAGTAATCTTCTTCATCTTCTCATGCCATTCTTGTGGTATAATTTGCAGCAGATCTGCAAATTGGGGCCAGGCTTCCGCAATTGTCAAGTTATTATCGCTCGGTAAAGGTCCGACTAACACCTCTCCTAGCCAATTATCTGTCCAAAATTTAATAGCACCACGGCCCACCAACCATTGAGTACAGTCCGCTAAGCTCTCCGCATGACTACAACTCGACATCCACAATGGAGAGGCGGATCTCCTTGTAATATGAACTCGTTTATCACAATACTTCGCCCGAGCAAATTTGGACCATAATGAGGAATTTTGCAGCACCTTCCAGACGTTTACCATGTAAGCACCGCATGACTTGTTTGAGATCTCGAATACCCAAACCCCCTTCGTCAATAGGGGTACAAACCGTTTTCCACCTCACCCACTGGGTCCGCGATTCTCCACCCGAGCTCCACAAGAAGGAAGACATAAGTTGTTCTATGCGAACAAGAACAGAGGCCGGGACTTTGGAGCACGCTAGCGAATAAATCAGGATGCTTGCCATAACTGATTTAATCAACGTTAGTTTGCCGCAAATGAAAGAAGTTTACCGTGCCACCCCTGAAGTTTACCACGCACTTTTTGTACTAGATATTCGAAGTATTCAGCCTTGGTACGACCAGAATAAATCGGTATGCCAAGATATCGAAAGGGCAGAGATTTACGACGAAAGCCTGTCAATTGTTCAATAGACTGACCCACAGATTCAGCCCACTTACCCACATACACGTGGCTTTTAGAACCATTCACCAATTGCCCTGAAGAGCGTTCGTAAGATTTTAAAACCTCCATAAGAGCTTGCATAGATTGTTGCCCTCCGTTCGAGAAAATAAGTATGTCGTCCGCATACAAGAGATGAGATACCACCTCTTCATTTCGACCAACCTTGAATGGAATAATCTGTTTCGTCACCATTTTCCGATTAAGATTGATGGTCAAAATTTGTTGTGCCAAGATGAATAAAAGAGGAGAGAGGGGATCGCCTTGCCTAACCCCGCGAGAAGATTTGAAGTTTCCGGTCAGGAGTCCGTTGATGTTAAAAGAATAAGAGATGTTGCAAATATTTCGATAAATCAAATCACATGATTTGTGGGAGAAGCCAAACGAGCGCATGGCCTTTAAGAGAAACCTCCACTCCAATCGGTCATAAGCCTTCGCCATATCCAGTTTAATAATGATGTTCCCACCCGAACACTTTCGATCAATATCTCGCGTCAACTCTTGTGCCATAACAATGTGAGTAGTCATATCCCTTCCCTGTACAAATCCAGCTTGCTCCTCAGAGATAATAAAAGGAAGAATCTTGCCTAATCGGTTCGCTAGAATTTTAGAAACAATCTTTCCCGAGAAATTACCCAAACTAATGGGTCTGAAATCGCTCATACTCCTTGCATTCTCGACTTTTGGCAACAAAACAATTGTGGATAGACACATTTCCTTCAGTAAATAACCCCCACGAAAGAAATCAACAATAAAATTTGCCAGCTCATCTTTAATAATTTCCCAACATGCTATATAAAAGTGCCCTGTGAATCCGTCATTGCCGGGAGAACTAGACGCCTTCATTCCCTTAATAGCGTTGAGAATTTCTTCTAGATCCGGAACTCTGCAAAAAAATTCATTTAATGAGTTACTCACCACAGTAGTAACCTCATGGAATAAAGTCTCGTCCATATGATAGTCTGACGCCTTGAAAAGATTAGCGAAAAAAGATTCCGCTATAGCACCTATTTCATTAGGATCAGTCGTAATGGATCCATCTTCTCTCTTAATTTGAATGGCCAAACGCTTACACCGATCTTTGATGCACGCATGGTAAAGAGCGGTGTTGCGATCCCCATCCTTCTCCCATGCAAGTCGAGCCTTGGCACTTAACATCTCCGCTTCCCAGTCTTCGAGACGATTAAGATGTTTCTTAGTCTCCACAAGCTGCTCCAAAATCTCGTCATTCCAGCCCTGTTGAAGCTCATTTTCAAGCGCTTGAATTGTTTGTTGAGAAGCTTTGATATTACTTTGTAGGTCACCAAACACTTCCCAATTCCACCGCTTAAGAACACGCCTGACATTATGCAATTTCTGCTGAAAAATATACGACGGAGACCCAAATACAGGAATAGTCCATGCCTTCTTAACTGTCTCTAGAAAAGAGCTATGATCTACCCACATACGCTGAAAAATAAATCTTGATATTTCAAATTTTGGCACATACACACTTTTAATCCGTTAACTGCGCATTTGTTATCTTTTGTGAGGATTTGATATTTGCCTTGTCTTTATAAATCACATCATATTCTTATTTTTAATTATTTTTAGAGTTATTGTAGATAGCCTCTCCCTAATTTACCTATACAAGGTTTGTTGAGAATCCCCGTTTATACGCAGTGGAAGATTAAATTTTTTCTATGATGCGAATTTTATAAATAATAAATTCATCTATAAGCATAATTAATTAGCGTGCATAATTCATGTCTTTAAAAAAAATTGAATATAATAGCATGGGAAATCAAGTAGTCAAGTAATCAAATAAATTAGTCTAATTAATTAAACTAGATTCGATTACTTACCCGTGGTCTCATTGAAGTTCTAAATTGAATAATTTCACGCCAATTCTTCTGTCGGAATTGGATTTCACCTTGAAAAGATTAATCCACCAAATAGATTAGATTGCACTAGAAAAGTATAGGTTTAATAAATGAAAGAAACGGAAGAAGAAAATGAGCAAACATAATTTTACCCATGATCTCATTGAAGCCTAAGTTGAACAATTTCACGCCAATTCTTATGTCGAAATTGGATTTCACCTTGAAAAGATTAATCCACCAAATAGATTAGATTGCACTAGAAAAGTATAGGTTTAATAAATGAAAGAATTAAACGGAAGAAGAAAATGAGGAAACATAATTTTCCAGCGACAACGACGCACGCGGCGAAAGAGGGGAGACCGAGACATAGATAAGAGAGCTTGTTATTGTGTGTTAATTCTCTACTGTAAGCCTCTTATTTATTGAGTTATTTGGCTTGTAGAACAAGTCTCCTACTTAAACTAGATTCAAATAGCTCAGGCCCATTAAAAATTTTCTGAACTCATTCTTAGTTTCCTAAACTCTCATATGGCAACTCCGTAAAATACAACCATCATATATTCGTGACGATTATAATCTCCTCGTCATTTCGAGTACCATATTTCAATTTTCAAATTTCCACTTTTGGAAACTTTTATTCCTGTGGTACCTGCCAAATTGAGAAAATCCCAATTTAGAAAGTTCACTTAAAATCTATGAAAAGGCATTCTTCTTCTTCTTCTTCTAATTCATAATCAACCATTACAAATTTTAGATTCAATCATACTGAACTCCGATTTAGCTAAGATCAACTAATTAATTTAAGTTCACCATATGAATCAATCCTCCCCACAAGAAGTGCGACCCTCAATGGTTCAGATGTAAGCTATTGTGGGTTCACAACCCTTTGTGATTCGAATAATCATTTATTCGATTATGGACTCGTCCCGATTAATATTTAATCTTCATCGCCGAATATATCGTTTAATGCGCAACAAATCATGATTGACATCTAGCAACTACATTTCATGATTCCTTAGATACAAATGAAGTGCCTGCAAGCATGGTTGTTAAATCGTAAATCGAATCGAAAATCGTTTTATAAAAAAATGTGAATCGTAAATCGAATCGAATCGTAAATCGTAAGATTTTAAAAAAATATTATAAATATTAATATATCCATAACATACTATTTTTCAACAAAAATCATGTAGCATATAATAAAAATCCATATCATGTGTTTCTTTAAACATGGACTTTTCAACACAACAAAACCACAAAAAGTGTAATACAAACATAGTATTGCTAATGTCATTAATCACTTTTTCAACACACAAAACCACAAAAAGTATAATACAAAAATAGTATTGCACTGTTGCTAATGTCTTTAATCACTGAAATAGAAAGTAATATCATTATTTAAATTCAGCAGCTCTTCACTTTCAACATTTTCTTCACTGACATTTACTTCATTCATTTGTTCGAGAGCTACTTCTTCTTGTTCCTCTTCAATGGTTTTTTCTTTTCTTTTTTCTTATTAATATCTCTACGTCCTATAAAAAATACATGTCATGTATTTAGACAACTCAAATAATAAATTGTATGACCGTACACCAAGGATATAATGCATGATTATAAATTACCTCTTTTCTTTCTTTTGCTTGATTCACCGTTTTCCAATTGAAAACACTTGTTAATATCTAACCAATATGTATTCTCCGGTAGAGTTGGATCTTCTCTTTCCGTTATCCATTCATTATCAGATTCCATATCAGATAGAGAAATAGGATCATAGAACTCACCATCTTTAACCCTCTTTTGATGTCGCGCTTCAAGCCTTAGATTGTACTTCGTGTAAACAAGTGCATTAAGTCTTTTTTGCTCCAATCGATTTCTCCTTTTAGTATGCACCTGTCAAAGAACTTATAATTTTGATTTGGCATTCAATAATATATTCATTCTAAGACTCGGAAATAAAGTTTACCTCATATTTGATCAAATAAGCTCCAATTTCTCTCGCATCCCGTGGCACTATATGGTTGGCTAAGAATACAAATGGCAAGTTTCTGAAGTTCTCGGCAAGCATCTCCATAAGATCCCCACCATAAAGCTATCAATTGCAATCAAATATCAATCAATTTAGAAAGACTACATATAAAATTAAAAATATTTTCATGCTTAAACATTTACCTAGTTGTTTCTTGTTCCTCATTTGAACAGGCGTGGACATTCCAAACATCAGTTTTGCTCTATGGAAAGTCTCTAGTTGTCTGTCTATTTGTTCTCGTAATTCTGGAGTGGGACACATCCGCTCGATTGTCTTATAAAGTCCATTCTTTATTCCATAATCCACTTCGAAATCAGGAGAATAATGAAAGCTACACATATTTATAACTCAAACTTTATAATCACAAGACTAGGCAAACAAGCAGTTAGTATCAAATAATTGTAAAAATAAATAAATAAAATAATAATAATGAGTAAGTAAGAATCATTATCACCTCGGATTAAGATAGTAAGCAGCCGCATGAAGGGGTCTATGCAATTGTAAATCCCATCTTAGATCAATGATTTCCCAAATCGGCTCATACATTTTTTTAACATCTTTAAAAAATTTCTTTATTTGTTCTTTTGCATGACCCATTACTTCATAAATATATCCCATGGCAGGCTTAGAATCCCCATCTACAAGTCTTAACACCTTTACTAGTGGGAGTGTGCACATCAAGCAGTATTGAATGGCCGACCAGAAGTTCTTGTCAGCTAAAATTATCTCACCAATAGCTTGTCCATCCGCTTTCTTCGCATATGAACTTTTTTGCCAGATTTCAGATCCATACATTGCCGTAAGTGCCATCTTTGACCCATGCAAACGTCTCAAAGTTAAATACGATGTTGCAAATCTTGTAACAGCAGGTATTGTTAACTCCTTGTGCCGCGTGAATTTTCTCATTAAGTTCAAAACCCAAGCATGTCTGAAAATAAACATGGTAAAAATTAAAGGGATATAAAGTAATAATATAAGTTACACATTAAGTATATAGCTTAAGAACCAAATAAAAAGAATTACCTATAGATGTACACTGTAATCTTTCTTGCCTTGGCCATGGTGTCTCTATGAATTGGCATATCTCCAATATCCTTTGGAATGAGATCCATACAATGTGCACCGCAAGGATTCCAAAACATATTATTTCTAGATTCGATCAACATCTCTCCAGCTTTTACAAACTTGTCAAGAAGTTTGAACAATTACTGTCGGTAACAAATTGAACAATAATTTCCGGCCCAATTTGTCTAACAAACTTGTCAAGAAGTTTGAACAATTCAGTAGCATTCTTAAAAACATCAGAAGTGTCGATGCTTGTTAGAAACACGGTTCCCTTTGGACTATTAACTAAGAAATTCGTGATAGAGTGATTCATATTATATGTCCATCCATCTGACATAAGAGTACACCCTGTCATTTTCCACTCATCTCTGTACCTTTCGATAATTTCTTGGATTGACTTAACTTCATTTTCCAAAAAAGTTACCCTTGCCTCATGATAGGAATGAGGTATTAACCTCTTTTCATACTCTGCAACTGACTGCAACATTGATTTTAAAAATGGATCTTTCACCAAATTAAAGAGGAGAGCCTTTGCATAAAGACATCTACATATATCATTACACATGGAATCTCTGTCCTTCGTCTTCTATAACGTATTCAAAGTAGTCTTAGAAGAGTCTGTCTCTTTTTCAGATTTTTTTAAAAACTTCATTGTTCGTTTTTTTTTCCCGGAGTTTCACCAACATCATCTTCAACAAAATTTCCATCATCCCCATAATCTCCTTTCGTTTTTTGACTTTCCAGATAATTTAAAAAAAAAATTGAATTTCTTCAGAACAGTTTGTACATGGTTCAACATCTTTTCTAGTTCTTGCTAAATGATGTTTTATGCGATAAACATCTCCCCAATAGATAACTTGACAGTGTACACATCTTACTCACATGTTTCCTTCATCAATTTTTTGCCAGTGTTTCCATCCTGGATCATCACTGCTCTTGCTTTTCTTCCCCTTTGATTTCCCCATAAGAAATTTGCAAAATAGTGATAATACACAAAATTTAAATACATGTATCTAGAAGAATGTGCAAAGTGTAAAATAAATAATTACATGTGTAACTTGGTTGAAGACCAAAACAAGAAGAAGTCCTATCCTAGCATCTTTGACGGCAGACGGTGGGAGTGGTATGATTTTTCTTTCTTGAATTTGTTGAGAGAAGAGAGAATCGAGGAGAATGGCAAAAGACAACTTTTGTGGTTGGAAAGTGGGTCTTCTAGAAATCTCTTCCTAATTTAATAATATATAATATATTAACAAGATAAAGCAAATCTGAGAAAATCGCCCAACTCGTACAAATTGCACGATTTGGGCGATTTACCAACGATTTAAACGATTTGGTTACGATTTTTTTAATTTTTCGATTTACTCACCGATTTGAATCAAGTTGAGTCTGAATCGAATCGAATTGGACGATTCAAAATCGTGAATCGTTCGATTTTGACAACCATGCCTGTAAGAACCTTAAATTATAATTTGCGTACAGTACGGTCCCTTTGACAAGATATATGTCCCGATCGAACTAAAGGCATTGTTTCGCCGAGACCTCTAATATTATTCGATAAGTATGCGATCGTTACAAAACTATAAAGTACATTCGTGAGTGACTTAGAAAAATCATTTTCTCTAATCATTACACTTTCTACTTCAGCCAAAGATTCCTTGGACAACATATTTAAAGAACATATAGGACATCTATGCAGTTAAGCAAGAGGTCAAATCCCTAACTACACACATGTTCCCTCTAGATTTCGGACCGTGTAACGTTGGCCCTTGGAGCGGTCTTCGAGGAGACTCAGGGATATGTCACAACACAGTTGGTCCTCTAATAAAGTCGCAATGATGTATAATGTGCTAAGAATTATTAGTGTACAAATATAATCATAGAACATCTACTCGATTAATAAAAATCCCTTAGAGATTATAGGACGAGAAAGTTTAGGGAACTCATCGACTATGAGTACCGACTTATGTATGCCAATGTACATTGTAGCGGATGAGACTCAACTCACGTACACTAAGTGCTAGTCTTAAACGCGAAAGGCCACTTTCCAAATTATTGGCGTAACTTATCGACTAGGAACGTGTTTAATACAATTAAACATATATAAATTAATACAGTAGGGACCAGTAAAATTCTATTAATTTAGCGAAATATATTAAATTATCGAGTTAATAATTTAATACATTTTTACCAACTCGAAACTGGAAGAAATTATTATTTAAGCGAGGATATTAATTTATCGAGGTTCTACTATAGTTATCTTACTTAATGAGTTATCTCATGATTCTCCTAGATCAATTCATAGTAATTTGATAATAACCAAAATGTTTACAGGAATTAATAGTTAGATAAAAAATTAAATGTAATTAAGTAGTTAGTTGTTACATATATATATATATATATATATATATATATATATATATATATATATATATATATATATATATATATATATCCACGGATGACTGAGGTTCTAAGTAGTCAGATTAATAGAATTCATCATTTCCTTTTAATATGGCATCAGAGCCAACTCATAGGCTCTTAAAACCCTAGTGTTCTTCACACATCAGGACTTTCCAAGCCTATCCATAACAAATCAATCACTCTCAAGCATCCGGGATTTACCGACGACCCATTACCTGGAGCCTAGCCACTAGGAAATCAGCCACGCGCTGCCACACGCACGAACAGTGACAATGCGTGGATCTCACGCGCCACCTCCAATCACCGGATTTGGTCGCCGCTTAAGTCTTCAAGGTTGTATGTGCCTTCTAGTGATGTTCTCATAGTCATAAATATCATGAAGTCAACGGAACATCAGTCACGCGCCACTTCTAATCCAGAGCATATACCGCACGCACCACCATTGTGTCCGTCGTCAACGCCGTTTAGTTCGCCAAAGTCTGCCCGTTGTTCCCCAATAGTCAGAATCGAATAAGGTCTCCCATTTTTTTGCTTAGGGCATCTCTAATGGAGTAAGAAAATCGGGTCTCCAAATTCTGTTTTGGAGACCCATATGGAGACCAAGTAGAATTTTATAGTCTCTAAAAAATAAAATTCCACAATGGAGGGCTCTATAATTTTGAGTCTCTAAATCATATTACGGGTCAAATTTTATTCATATACGAGGTTGTTGACAATTAAATTTTATTTGAACAATCTTAATTATTTTTAATTTACATTTCGATCCAAAAAATGAAAAATTCTGAGAAGATATGAAATTTTGAACTACAACCATTGGATATGATTTTAATATGATTTTAGTTGGTCTTATCCATTAAAATTTTATATAACCATCTTATCTAGATCTTCATCATCTTATCCAGATCTTCGTCATCTATCCAACTATAATCCATTAGATTGGATTTTCATGTTCAATCTCGGCCATTCAATTCTTATCTACTATCTATTCATTTTCTTATATAATGTTACCCCTAACTCTTACACAATCACCACACATTCTATATACAAACTAGCTACATATTTATAAAAAACAATGGCACAACAAGGAAGCGATAACTCATCTTCCGACGACAACAACCAAAGCCACACAATGATGACGACGATGTACGTGGAATATCAGTCACTCATGTTGGCTTCACAGGGGAAATGCAAAACACAACATGGATGAACATTATCACGCCAGAATTCAATAAGTAGGGACTGAGTAAGTGCGCATTACAAACTTATGGATGATTATTTTTACGAATTATGAATGATATCATGCATTATTGACGATTACTTTAAGCAAAAGCCGGATGCCTCGAGAAAGCAAGGTTTCTCACCCCATGTCAAAATGACCGTTGCACTTCGTATACTCGCTTACACCTTGCAGATGCAACTGACGAGTATCTAAAAATAGCAGCGACCACATCTTCATATGCTTTGAAGCATTTTTGTCGTGTTGTCAATGCAGTGTATGGAAATGAGTATCTTAGATGATCTAACAATGCAGACATTGTTAGACTACTTAGAAAAACGGGGCAACAGGGAATCCTATGAATGCTAGTAAGTGTGGGTTGTATGCATTGAGAATGGAAAAATTGTCCAACCTCGTGGACTAGTACATATTTTGGACGCTGTGGTAAACCTACAATAATACTAAAAGCCATAGCATCATATGATACTTGGACTTGGACCACCAGGTGCATAAACTGATCTTAATGTATTATAGAACTCACCTATTTTCAATGATGTTGTCGAAGGCGAGCCACAAATATTCGATTTACTATAAATGGTATAGTATACAAGCAAACATATTATCTAGTAGATGGTATATATCCACGTTGGTCCACTATTGTTCAAGCAATTCATGATCCACAAGGACGCGATAAATAATTATTTATGAGGTTGCAAGAGGCATATTGAAAGGATGTTGAAAGAACTTTTGGCATTCTTCAATCTCAATTTGAGTTCATTACAGGACCTTGTCGATTATGGCACAATGCACAAATTGGTCAAATTATGAAATGTTGTATAATTCTTCATAATATGACCGTGGAAGATAACCGCAATCAAGAAGGTGACGATTTTTGGCCAACTTTAGATCTGTTAAAACCTATTTTACCTTTTGAAAAAAGACAGAAATCGATTTTGCGAATGATATTCAGAGATTATACGACTCAGTGCAAAGATTGAGGAATCTTGAACAGTCCGATCATGACATGATTTCTTATTTGTCCAATGCCCAATCTGTTGTTGTGGAACTCAAGAACTTATTGGAAGTTGATAGCCTTGCATGTATAAAAGAAATTTTGAATAACCTGTATATGGTGCTGACTCATTGTGGGCTGCATTCAAACTTTGACCATGTACCAGATAAAATATTAACTAGTCAAGACATCCCATCAATGGAAAATTTAATTACTAGACTTCTTCGGGTCCCTTCATCAAAAGATGGGAGCAGCTCTAACACTTCAAGTGAAATTTTTGTCATGGTCTCTAATCATGGAGGACGAGGAGTTCACTGTGGAGGGCGTGGTGGAATAAGTAGTTGTCCACAGTGCTCACATTGTAAGAGAATGTGTCGTACTCAGGATACTTGTTATATACTACATAATTTTCCGAAAAGATCAGTGAACGTCTCCAAGACTGAATTGTCATTTTCAGAAACAAAATACCAAGAATATATTCAGTTGAACATTGCAAAGAAACTTGAGACTTCTACTGCCACCAATATTCTTAATTCAACATCATGCATTTCTCAGTCTAAGTTCATGGATATTTGATTCAGGTGCCTCCGTTCATATTGCTGGTAATAATTTCTTGTTTTCTTCCATTTCTCAACCTAAGTTTCCCATTTTATTACTCTAGCAGATGGATCGAAGGTTATTGCCAAAGGAATTAGTCATACTTCACCTACTTCTATACCCTTAAAATCCATATACATGGTTGTCCCTTTAATTTAATATCTCTCAGCAAACTCAATTGTTCTCTTAACTCTTCCGTTGCATTTGATGCGAACTCATTTTTCATACAAGAATGTGGAATGGGATGGATGATTGGTGTAGGACTTGAATCTTCAAGTCTTTACTACTTCCAATCAGCTGTTTCGCTAACAGGTGCTGCAAATACATCTCCCAATATTCTTCATGAGCGTTTAGATCACCCAAGTTTATTAAAGATGAAGAAAATGATCCCAAGTCTTCAAAAGTCAGAGTCTTTCTCTTGCGAGTCATGTCAATTAGGTAAGCATTATCGATCTTCTTTTCATGGAAAGGTAAGAAGTTATGATGATTCTCTCTTTTCTATTATTCATACCGATGTATATGAGGTCTAAGTCGTGTATCCACTACTCTTAGTTTTAAGTATTTTGTAACTTTTATTGATGAATTCTCAAGATGTATTTGGATTTTTCTAATGAAAGAGCGTTCTGAATTTTTTTTCCATTTTTACCTTTTTCTATCACGAAATCGAAACTCAATTTAACAAGAAAATAGAAGTTTTGCGAAGTGCTAATGCCAAA